CGCCGCCGCCGCGCGCTCCTTCTTCTCCCTGCTGAGCTCGGCGCCCAGGCTGGAGTTGAGCGGGAGCCGCGTCGGGGAGATGCTGGAATGGCGGCTGCGGGAGCCAGACCTCTGCTTCTTGCTGTGAGATGATGAGTGCCTGGAATAGCCAGGACTTCTGCTCCGGGACTTCACAGACTTCCTGAGGAGAGAAGGAGGAGATACATGAAACGGAGCGTTTCCCAACCTCACAGCTACTCACCGACATCGACTCTCTTGGAAAACAATTCCAGTCTGTTATTTGCCACCAGAAGTTGTAACACCTGTCAGGAGAGACTAAAGCTTCTGAAATTAGTTTGTGGACTAAAGCAGTTCAAGTTTCAGGTCCTCATCCAGCCTCCCAGCATCAGGACCACCCTCACAATCACACCAGTGAGACAGGAGTGAAGGATGAAGGTTGGAGAAGCCTCAAGGTGAGGATGAGATCACAGACGCAGGCACTGAACAGAAGACTCCAGTCAGGAAGATGAGCTGGCACTTTATGGATCTCTCACAGTAATTATGTAGAGCTTTAAAGGAAACAGGGGATAAAATATCCCTGCCCTCATGGGAATGCTGCCTCAGGAAACCACTCACTTCAAGCTAATTTTTCCCCCTAGTTCTTCTACTATCATCAGACTCAAATTTGCATATTGTGATTCAGGAGAAGAACAAAAAAAACCCCGCAAGAATTTTAATTCTCTTTGAGGTACGTCCAGAGGGTCTTGGTCTTCCTCTACAATAAATGTTCCCTAAATTAGGTCTATAAGCAGAAACAAAAAAACCAAAACCAGCACACTGAAAATGTGTGTTGTGACACAAGCCAGACAGGGAAACCCTCACACTAGGGGGGTGCACAGCACCAGCACAGGGTGAGCCTAGTGAGGAGACACCAGTAACCACAAGGTCACTGGAGACTGATGTGGACACAAGATAAAAAATTACAAGTAGGAACTGGTACTTCCAGTGTCTGTGACAAAATTATTGACAATGCAGAGGGGGAAAATGAGATATTCTGAGGTCAGACCCTGTGAATACAGCAGAAACTACGTTCAAAGTTTGTTTTTATTCTGTGATCTGTTACTCAGAACATGCCTGGTTTTGAAAACATGGAATTCTCTCAAAACAGCCCCACAACAGTTACAAAGAACACCTGATGGCAGCAGGTTTACACACAGCAGATGCTGACTCACTTCGAACCATTCTGGGAATGTAACTAACAAGATCTGAACTGTTTATAGTGCTACAGGATATTATCCTGAGACAACAAATGTTTGGAAAATCCACTGGAGAACTGAGACAGACTAATGCAAAGTTCCTCCCTGAGCACCAGCAGCACCTTGAGGGATGGACACAACTGTGACTACATGGGAGCAAGTCCTCTCACCAAGTACATGCCCAAACCTCGTGCTGACAGTGGTCAAAGAACACCCAGCTGGAGGCAGTCCTTACCTTTAGACTTAGAAAATAAATATACAACCAGGAGGGGGGGTAAAAAAAAGCTTCATCAGAAGCCACTCAACTATTTTCCTTCTCCTCCACAAATAACCAGGCTGGGATGCAGTTTATCAGGACGTCAGCCCCTCACCTGCTGCATCCTGGTGCCACACTGCCTGGAGCTGAAGGAGCTGATACCTTTTGCTGTGCTCCAAGACATTCCCAGGCCAAGGAAAACATTCATCATGAATCCCATAGGATGCAGTTCACTGCAACCACAAGTAGTTCTGGGGTTAGCATTCCCCACTACAATTCCTTCGGGAGAGATGGTTTAGGATGCTGCAATCCCCAGTTTCCTGCTGCCTCCTCCCCCATGATTCCCTCCAACAGTTATTCCAATTCAACTGGTTGCAGAGCAATATTCTCAACAAGATCCTTCTGACAAACTTCTTCAAAAGTGCAATTTTACCATATTTTGAAGGGCTATATTAGAAATGCAGCCACCAGAGACACCTGCAGGGACACAAGCAAGGGGTAGCACTGGGAGAAGTGGTGGGAGTGGAGATAGGGCTCAGGGCAGGACCCTCTTGCACAAGGTGCTGTGGAAGGAGCTGCACCACAAAACTAGTGCTTCCAAGGGCTGGGATGACTCCCTGACCTCCCACCAGCAAATACTAGTGCTCTTCTCTTCCACCAGGATTAAACTGACTCATTCCCTCCTAGTTGTCTTCTCTCCACAGGCAGCACTCACACTTTCTTCTCTTCAGACTAATGATAATTACCAATAGTTATTACACAAAGAGCTGTTGTTCCTGAGCCCATTTTCCAGCTTTGGTGTTTACAGCTTCTTTGTTAGACCTGAAAAAGGCTCCACATCCAGAAGCCTGCCTGTTTCCCCAGCTCTATCAACCACCAGCAGACCACTCCTCACATCTTACCTCATACAATTAGCCCACCAAGGGCCTCAGCAGGGTCTTCCACAGCAACACCTGCTCTCACCACTACTGTTGGGCACAGAAGAAGCAGAGGCAGATTGTTTGTTAGACCTGAAAAAGGCTCCACATCCAGAAGCCTGCCTGTTTCCCCAGCTCTATCAACCACCAGCAGACCACTCCTCACATCTTACCTCATACAATTAGCCCACCAAGGGCCTCAGCAGGGTCTTCCACAGCAACACCTGCTCTCACCACTACTGTTGGGCACAGAAGATGCACAGGCAGATTGTGCCTTTGAAGGACCCCCTTTCCATCCCCTGGAATGGTCTCTGCATGGCTTCACCTGCAGCCAGCTTGTAAGCACTTTTACCCCTTTCACCCTTCAGGTACCACCCCCCAGCTTATTTGCTTTGCTGAGGTTATCAGGGATGGGTGGGGGGCAATTTGGTCCCACATGCTGCTCTTTTTCTGGATAAAATTGCTCTGGGGTAAAAAACAAAACTCTGTGTCTCTCAAGCACTGGAAACTAGGAACACAAAATACAATTCTGAAGACTGCGAATTAACAGAAAGCAGTTGGAGATAATGGCTCATCTAAAAATGCAAATTTAAAAGCATTATTAGATTAATTTTACTGATACAATCAGAGTATTAGAATGGTCTTTGGAGGAGGGAATGCTTGAACTCTCCAGACCTCCTCTTGCTGAAAACAACCACAGCTAAGAGCCATTAGCAGAGATGACTCTGGCAGAACAAAGCCCCGTATCTACATACCTCCCTATCATCCACTATACTAACTCCCAGCAACATCTCCAGACACTAAAACATTCACCTGCTCCAAGCCACAACAGAAGATAAGAGTAAAGTGAAAACTAGTACCTGGGGAGCCTGGCTGCATGGCCTGTGCTCTAATGGCCCAGGAAGGGAGCCCAAAGGAGCTCTTATTCCTGAATCCCTGACAATCTTTGGCAAGAAGTTGCGCAGAGGTGGCCCTGGGCTGCAAGAGTTAGCACAGGGCACTGCCCACCCTCAGCCAGCTGGAGGACTCTGGAATTCCTTCTAGTTTTTAGCTGCAGTGACAATAATTGCTAGAAGGAAGGGTGAGAGCCACATTTGTTCTTTTCCCTCCTGACCAAAGCGAGGTGTTTTGCACAGCCATTTGAAAGGCAGACATGCTGAATGTTGTCCCAGCAGCACAGGGATGCAGCTTCCTCATGCTGTATTTTGGAGATGGCAGAAAACACAGACTGCGCTAAAAAAGAAACAAACCCCACAACCCAAGTTGTCAGTCAGTGGAAATAATGCAGTGTCCCAGAAAAGCCTGTGTTGCCTCCCCTGAAGAGCTGGAGCCACAGTCAGGTGCTCACTGCCTGAGCGTGCCAGTTAAAGACGTCTTCTCTCCCAAACTGCTCCTGCCTCCCTGCAGGAGCCAGAGCTCAGGCATCACTCCCCAGACACTCTGGTACCATCAGCTGCCCCCATTTACACACTCATCTGCTGCAGATCAACCAAAGCTGCCCTCAGCGGGGCTGGCAAAGGGGGCTCTGCTGATCCCCTCCCCTCCACAGAGGGGCCAGTCTCTCCTCTGGCTGCCTCACCCTACAGGCTGCAGGCTCAGTGAAGCAAAACCAACACAGGAATCACAATTTGCCTGGAATATGGAAAACACATTCAATCCCCTCTGTCCCTCTTCAGACAGACACCTTCTGGAGGCATAATCCATGGAGGGCATTTCCTTCTACTTTTAAAGGATGTATCACAAAATAAGTTACCTCCCCAGGAAAGCAGAGCAGAGTAGCAGGTTATCAACTGAAGGCAGAGATTCAAAGAATTCAGTATAAGCGAGGGTAAACAGTAAGTAACCTTTGGAATCTATTCTAGTTTGGGGTCCAGCCTTCTGCCAGCGAGACAAAGATGCCCTTAAAAAGTTTCTTTCTGTGTTTCCAAGTTCAGGGAAGCAGCACAAAGTGCTCCAAGGTTGCTCCCACCATTAAGACCAGGAAAAGAGAACTGCTTGATTCCTCTAGTCAAAACCAACCACTCACTTACAGAGTAAGCTGCAGGTTCTCCTGGGAATTGGAGAAACCTGGGAAAAAAACCCCACACCTCTTCATTTACCAGTCCAGTTTCCACCTGGTTTCTCCCTGGTTAAGGCTGAACATGGACATTTAACAGGGACCATAAAACACCATTAGATCACAAAGGAGAAATACACTTTCTACCACTGCACTCTTACTCCTCCAAAAGCATTAGCAAATAACACCAGAGCCACCAGGGCAAATGGGATTGAGAAGACACATCAAGGACTAGCCCTCAGGTGTACTCAGAGAAAACAGGGCAGAGGAGAGAAAACCTGAAGGGAAGTTTCACCATGTAAAATCCCAGCAGAATAAGCAGGTTTTATGAAACAGCTCCCGGGGGGTGTTAAACCAACACACCTCTTAGAGCCAGGAGCAAGGCACTGCTTCACCCCCACTATGGAAGACAGCATTCCTGAAGTTAAGAGAAGAGCTCTAGTGACAAAGGCTGAATTCCCAAAGCCCTGAGTTCTTTGGGAACTGCTGATCACACCACTGTGCTCTGGAGCCAGTCTCTTCACTCCCTGTTGGGAGCAGAGGATGCAGCAGAGCTAACCCAGCCCAGAGCACTTCCATAGCCATGACATTCCAGGTCACATCTTAATTGCCATGGAGCTACAAGCCAAACTCCACAGCACCCATGGTGACCACTGGAAACTCACTTAACATAAGCTGAAGCTAGGAAAAAGAAACAAAGAAAGAATCAACATTAGACTATGTATTGGTGCACATACCAGTATGAGGAACAAACACCTGAAATAAAACACAGAATTAGCACTACCTTCAAGTAATAGATTCCTTCTGTAGCAAGGCTACTGACTAAAGAAAAAAAGAGAAAGTTACAGTTAAGCCAAGATGCCCCTGGTTCCTCCTTGCCCCTTCAGAATGCTCCATTTCAGAATGGAAGCAAAAAACTTTAGTACTGAGAAAAGAAAGTTTAGGCTGGAGAGGTGGAGCTGACATGTGGTCACCTCTGACTGAGGGAAGAGGACAGACAAGTGAGTTCAGAAAGAGCAAAATGCACTCAAGGCAAGACATTCTCCTGAAAAGCATGATCAAGTTTCCACACGTAGTAAACAGATAAAGGCTGAAAAGTGAAAATAGTATCCCTGGCTCAGCTTCTCACCGGGGAAGCAAATTAGATCCAACATCAGAAGCTGAGCAGCTCCAGCTCCCTCCAGAGCACAACCCTCCCCAGGAGCCCCGGCCCTTCTGAGGGGCCACCCCCAGAGGTGGGTGTAACTTAATCCAGGAGCTCCTCCAGCCCCAGGGCCTCTGCAGAGCCAACATGGACGCTGCCTCCAGCCAGCCAGGGGGATGTTCTCCAAAGTGTGAACACCACCCCAAAGGGAACCTCCAGCACCCCAACCAACCCAACTCCCCAGGGATCACTCCACAGCCAAACCCTGCAGTCAGCGACCTGATCCCCACCGAGAGAACAAGCAAAGGAGAGCCGGGGGGGG